AGAGAGACACGAAGAGAGAGAGAGAAAGAGACGAGAGAGAGCATCTCCCCCACCTCCAATGCGTCCACCAACCTCCTTCCCTCCATGTCCTCCCATCTCCCTGTTGCTTCACCCACTGTTTGCACCTCCACCCCCATCCCTCGCTTGCCTCCCGCCCCCTTTTCCCTTATCCACACACACACACGCACACACGCACCACCGCCCCCCCACACACACACAGAGCAAGCACATGCAATCAATAACCAACTAACAAGCTGATCAGCGGCCGCCTCCCACTAGCCAGGAACATTCATTTTCCGTCAGCTTCTGACAATGCATGCCAATCCAATCAGCAAAAAGCACGAAGGAGGTGCTGGCGGAAAACTATCATTTACTCCTCTCCTTAAGAAGCCTACCTTCTATGAAATAATGTTCATCTCATCCGTTTCTCGTCGCCTTCGCCAGTCAGGTCCTGCGTATGGCAAGATATTTACAAACCAGGGAAGGAAGAAGAATAGGTACGTCACCAGCACACGAGGACTGGTATAACAACACATGCTGGTAGGGAGGGAGGGGTCCCCGTCGCCAAAGAAAGAATCCACACCCGCCGCATCCTTTTAAGGCTATCGGACACCCTCCCCTTGTGCCAAAAAGGGTTCCTGCTCAGTGCCGGTGTGCCAAAGTGGGTTCTCTACAGCATGGAGCTACACTAAAATACATCCACTACCTACTTATCGACTAAGGGCGCACTCACACCAGGACTCGAGCAATCTCTGCTCTGGACGTAATCGTGGTCACGTGCACTCAGGTCTGGCCCTTCATGCATGTTCGTTTTAGGAAAGTGCAAGTGTGCGTACGCCCTAAATGAATCAGTTCCTTTCCACAAAAGGAAAGTGCCCATCTTCGCCAACCTTTACCGCGGAGAGCCGGAGACCCATCAGGTCGACCACGGTATAACGAGCATAGGAACGTCCACGCAAAGGGCACCTTGTTTTCACTCAAACCATACCGATAAGAGCAACGAAAAGACCCCCTCCACAAACAAAAAGGACTCCCTCCAAAATCAGGAGCCGCCGCAAAGAGAAGTGGGCCCACTCAGCAAAGCACACGTGTCAAAGCTGCTGTTCTTAACCCCCCTCCTATAGGTGAGGCCACAATAGAATTGAGCTCGCTGCTACACATGCTAGCTGACTGTCATCGCCATCCATAGCTTGGGTTGGGTGCTAACAGCGCAGAAAATGCCCGCCGCGCCTGAGCCTACAACAACGATACGGACACAAATGGGTGCCCCATGCCAGCAGATAAGCTGTCGTACAGTCTCAAAAGCAGAAACACTAAAGATCGATTCTTACCTATCCTAAAGGCGAGGCCACAACAGAATTGATCGTGCTGCTAGACATGCTAGCTGACAGTCACCGCCATACATAACCTTGGGTAGGGTGGTCGAAGCGCGGAAAATACCCCGAGCCTGAGCCGGAGACAACGACCATAAAGGGTACCTGATGCCACCAGCAGACAAGCGGTCGTACAGTCTCCAAAGCACGGTGCGCACAGATCACCATACGTCACACGGAGGCCTACAGACATGAGAGAGCGATGTTATTCTCGAGCATTTAACAGCTTCAGAAGGGTACCTGTTGCCACCAGCAGACAAGCGGTCGTATAGTCTCCAAAGCACCGTGCGCACAGATCAGCATACGTCACACGGAGGCCTACAAACATGAGAGAGCGATGTTATTCTCGAGCATTTAACAGCTTCAGAATTGTGCAAAGGAAAACACCGACTAATCAGCAGAAAGGACGCACACGAGGCTGGGGACTTCAACTACTACTGTCGATCTTAACTCCTCCTGCCTGGCTTGTGTAACTCAGCGCTCCTGTGTGCTGCCATCGAAGACCACAGACTTGTGCTGGAGGGCATGAAGGGTGTTTTATCGCAGTTGGAAGAGCATTCAATACCCACGAGTACAGTTTAGCGTGAAATACCACGGCTCAGCTCCACTCTGCGCTCCACCATCTTTGGCCATGACGGTTTACTCACAGGCGGCAGACAAGTCTTACCAGAACGGCAATATTCCGGTTTCCACTACCATTCAACAGATTTAACCAAAAAAAAAAAAAAAAAAAAAAAAATCAACAGCTAGCTATGGTCTCGACTCTTCAGCACAGGTAGCACAAGTCCTACTAGGGGTTCTGAAAAAGCTTCCCTACCTATGGTCCCTAACATTCTAGGCCACGGCAACGGCATAGATCCCTACCAACTACCTAAAAAAGCTTCCCTACCAACTACCTACAAGCTCCACTTACCCAAGAAGACCGAGGGCCGGCGAGGGCAACTTATTCCCTCCAATACGGAAAAATAGAAAACGCGGCAAACGCCTTAAGAAAAATGGATGGGTCAAGAACAACAAACTCCTACTGACCTGATCCAGAGCGAACGCATGGTTGGATTCATTAATTTGTTCCGCGTCACGGAGAAAGGCCCCCGGTGAACCGTAAGGCAGCGAGGAAGCAGAGGCCAACCAACGAGGGGTCGCAACAGACTGCTTCGTCAGAGTTTCACTGACTCGTCAGAAAGGCTGAACCCTATATAGATTGTATGCCTGAACCCTATATAGATTGTTAAGGCTAAACCCTATGTAGATTGTAGGCTGAACCCTATTACATATCAAACCTAGATATAATCAAAGGTCCATTTGGATTCATAAGGCTGAACCCTATATAATGTAAGGTCGAACGGACTCGAACCCTGTATAGATTGTTAACGCTGAACCCTATTACATATCAAACCTAGATATAATCAAAGGTCAATTTGGATGGATCTGGTCGCCTTCCGTCACAAGATTCACAACCTCGCCCCACAAGGCTGGGTATGCTGGAGTCTTCCATGCAAGCGAAAGGCATGCCTCACATCGAAGACGAAATTATGCACCTCCGCACGCTTCGCTTAAGGCCCAACGACAACGGAAAAAAACAAGATATCACAGACTGATAACGCAGGAACAAAAAATAAAAATAAAAACAAAAAATCAACGGTCAGATCAGCGTCATTCATCGTTCATAAAAACTTTGACTCTGAGAGAAACTGCCAGCAAACCAGATGCACAAGGACAACGCGACGGGGGACGTCACCGCAACTTGTTGCGCTTTCTTTAAGTCTGGTCGAAGGGAATATCCACACCGCATTCGGTGTACTCGCTCGCCAGCATGGAGCTGTTGGGCTTGAAACCGACATAACACTTTATGTCAACCTGCAGAAGGAGAACACAAGACGATCACCAAACAAATCAGAAATGAAAATATTTGATTATATTTATTTTCTTCCTTTAAACTTTCTTCGGAGTTTTCTCTTTTCTTCCTCAAAAGCAAAATTGGAAACAGAGATATGGGTGTCCTTCGGGACATCCGTTAAAATTGAAACGATACGGAGAAGATTAGCATGGCCTCTGCGCAAGGATAACACGCATAAATCGAGAAATGGTCCAAATTAAAAATAAAAAAAAAGGGAAACGGGGATATGGGTTGTCTGTGGAGGGGGACTCCCGACCTCCTTTTTTGTGTGGTGATAAAATGGGTAGAATCATCTTTGAAAAAAAAAAAAAAACGGAGATACCTCCTCCATGAAATCATCAGTTCCGTTGGGAAAAAAAAAAAAAGAAAAAAAAAAGGTTATCACTGTCATCTCAGACATGATCGTATTGGAGGAGAACATGACCATAAACACACCAGGGGCGAGGTCTCACTAACGAAGAAGATTGGATTTTAATTTTTAAGCCAGGATGAATCTGGACATGTTTGGGGAGCGGAGCAGAGAATTGTGAATAATGACTAATCTGCTTTTCTGCATCTCTGCATCTCTGCATAAAACGCATCCAGATTCTGGCGCCGACTCCAATCCTCCTTGCTACCGGTAGTGGGAGCTTGCCTCAGCATATACTCTTGGCGGAAACATGAAAGAGTTATATGAACTTATATCCATGCTCACAGTTTTTAATCTGAGAAACGATCAGAAATCTGCATTTTTTAATTTTCTAAGAAAAATTCCTGCCTCCAATCTGTTTTGCAGCTACGATTTGCTGCGATTCGCTGAAATTTGCTAAGATTTGCTGAGATTCGCTGCAATTTGCTGAGATTCGCTGAAATTCGCTGAGATTTGCTGAGATTTGCTGAAATTTAACAGCAAAATGATTTTCAGTGAAGTCACTGAGGAATGCGTCGTCAAATCAAAACTACGTAAAACCCAAAGTGGAAGCAAAAGTCGTGCCTCTTCTTTTTCAGTTTTTCATCTCTCGACTTCTGTGTGTCATCCTCACGGCATATATTTCCATGTTCTAGTCGAAGATTCATTCTCATTTTTGAACATTTGGTGAGTAGCAGAGCAAGAGGCCCTATCTGGCAACTTCCCTCAGTGTTTTTTTTCTGAGGGAAGTTGCTCCCTTCTCAGCATCCCTCTTGTTGTGCTTTGAGCAGTGGAAGAATTCCTACCCTACCGTCTTCACCTGAATAGAGTGCCCCACATCATTATCACTGCATCTAGACTGAAAGGTGCACCAAACGCATCCATAACGCCCGGACATTCTCTTCGGGCGAAGACGGTAGTGCAAGAGTGCATGCAATGATCATTCGCGCAGAATTCACATGCTATCATCCGCTAGAGGCCAAAGCAATTAGGTGTCCTAATAACGACGCGAGTAGGGAAAACTCCAACCCTCCACTGTCTTATTCCCCCGTGTTTGGCGTCCGAGGCATGCTCATGGCCGATTGATTAACAGCAATTCCAACTTCATGTTCTCGAGTTGCTTGCGAGTATTCGGCGTATGGGTTGGTCGTGGAGACCTGTGTCAGCACTCAGCAGTGATCGCCTCCATGCACGTCGTTCTTGATGATCCATAAAACACCCAAGCATGAACTCTTCATACGCTTAAACCACCTCCTACCGTGTATACCGGTCGTGGATACCAGTTCATTTCGATTCCACGCAGTGAAAGCAGAAGGCCACTTTGAAAAAGGCACAGTTGCAAGCTCGCAAGCCTTACAAGGTAGATCCTTCAACTTAGGCAAACGAATCTGTCGGCAGTTGGGTGGGACTCGTGTGAGGTGGTGGTTTACGTCAGTACTCCTCTACCCACTGTTCTTCATCCTCCCTCTAGCATTCCCATTCACAATCTCCACGCCCAAACACAGGCGGAATGCCATATCCTCCTCCTCCTCCTCCTGCTGCCCCTCCTCCTCCCGTCCTCCCCTGCCCCTCTTCCACCACCTTTTCAGAACCTTTCACGATTTGTTTCTGAAGGGGAAAGTTGTTACTCTGTCCCAGCGCACCTCCACCTCCTCCCTTACCTCCCTTGGCCCACACCTCCTTCCTTCTCTCCCTCATTCACCTTCCCCTAGTCCCTCATCCTCTCTTTCACTCTCAAGGGGGAGAGGGCCACCTCAACGTATCAGTTGTGTGGCAGTCGTTGATGCTTAACAACAACCGGGGTTGAGGTGGATTGTCACTTACAGTGTAATCAGTTAGGGGATTCTGCAGACTGTTGAGGGTTCAGCCTCCTGATGAGTCAGTCGGTGAAACTCCGAAGAAACTGTTTGTCACAGCCCCTCGTTTGTTGTCCTCTTCTCCCTCTTGTCCCTCTCTGCCTACAGTTTACTGGGCAGCTCTGTTTGACGATATATATCGTCAAACAGAGCTGCCCGGTAAACCGTAGGCAGAAACAGTTCTTTACAGCCCCTCGTTTGTTGTCCTCTTCTTCCTCTCTGCCTACGGTTTACCGGGCAGTTCTATTTGTGACGATATATATATCGT